CCAGGCTGAAAACTAACTCACTCAAGTCAATGTGTGGAAACTTCAGGGCCCTGAGAGTAGGACAGCTTGGCCCCAAAAGTAGAATGTGGCAGTTCTGAGAACACAGGAGTGTTGTGCTAAGTCTCTTCCCCACATCTATTTATAGTTCATGCAGCTGAGGTCTGAAAGCTAGCCAGGCCCAGGCAGAGGTAGGCCTGTTCATATGATCCAGTCTCAGAAATTCTGCGTACATTACTCAGGGACTCCGGGTAAAGCAGATCCTCTGATGAAAGTGACAAGGGTTCTCTTGCCTGGCTTCAAAACTTTCAAGCTGGAGCCTGAACCTTGGCTAATGTCAACATGGAGTCTGTTTATTAGCTTAAGAAATACTATGGAAGTTATACTTTTTATTTTTAATTCTATTTATTTTCAATGGTCATTGAATGAATGCTAACACAAATTCTTCATATCTTGGGGGCGGGGTGGCACTAGGGATTGAACCCAGGGGTGCTCTGCCACTGGGCTACATCCCCAGCCCTTTTTATTTTGAAACAAGGTCTAAGTTGCCGAGGCTAGCCCAGAACTTGCGATCCTCCTGCCTCAGCCTCCTGAGTGGCTGGGATGATAGGTATGTACCACCACACCTGGTGAATTCTTCATATCTTAACTTTAGGCTCTGGTCAGAAATAGTTCTTTGCCCAGAAAGTGGAGCTCAGTCAATTGGTAATGTGAAGAAGGGTTCCTGGCCTTTCAGTCATTCTGCCCTGGGTTTGAATGCTGGCAGAACCTTGGACACACCACTTCATCTCCATAAACCTCAGATTCTCCATATGGAAAAAAAAAAAAATCCCCCCTTCTCAGACTATCAATGAGGACCAAATGGACGTTATATACAAAACTCTTGGGAAGGTGCCTGCCTAGCACATGACAGGGTTCAGTAATGACAACCTGGCTGTGGTCACTAGGACCTCGCTAGCCAAAGAACTATGAAGAACACATGTAAATCCCAGGCCCCGTGGCTCCCACTAGTGCTCACACCCACGGTTGGGCTATCAGCCCAACTTTCCCGGAGTACCCAAATTCCTGATTCTGACAATTACAAATGTCCTTCCTGTTCTTCTTTGGAAGAAATGTTGAACGACCCATAATTAAATAGGACATGGCTTGGAATTAAACCTTAAATGTGAAAATGGAGTATTTGGGATGATTTATCCAAAGCAGGAAAGAGAAAACCAACTCTATTCAAAAAAGCCAACGCAGCTGGGACCACCGAGTCTGGCGTAGAGTCAGGACCAAAGGCCAGGGTTTCGGGGCCTTTCGGCAACTTGTGCTCCAGGCAAAGTGACCCATTCCCATTTCCAGATCTCCCGTGCTGCCGCACCCCATCCCCGACACTCAAAGCCCCATCCCCACCAACCAGCTTGAGACCACAGGACTGATCTCAGCCTGCCCTTTATTCATGTTGCCATCAATCCTCCGAGCTCCCTGCTGTCCAGACTCCCAGGTCACTCCACAGGGTTCCATGAATCAGGAGGTGGCACTTGTCAGAACACTCCCACCCCTTCCTTCCGGGACTTTTCCAGCATCCCTGATCCCACTATCTTCTACTGGGGCTGGCAGAGCTTTGTCAGCACGTACGCTCCATGCAGGCTGGTCCCGTGCCTAGAAGGACACTGGCACGTCGCAGACACTCAATGAGGATCTGAATAAATGAACAAATGAGCGAACCATGTGCAGTAGCAAAGAGACTAAGTAGCAACTCTCTCAAACGATTAAACAGCTGAGTCCTTGCTTGTTTTCCTGAGATCCGTATTTCAGGGATGGGAAGAGGGAATAAAGCAATAAATTGCTTGGCCTTTCGCCCAAGGCCAAAAACCAGGCTGCTCTACACCAAACCCTCTGCCGGCTTCCTGAATTCCTTCTGACTGAGAACCACTCTGGGCTTCTCCTAGAGCAGGCCGGGGCCTCGTGGCGGCCTTCATCACATCTCTGGCTCAATGTGAGAATTCAGACACCCAGTGACCTAACGGCTGCCCTTGAATGTAGCCGAGAGACGTCAGTGGTAATCTGTCTGTCTCCCTTGGTTTGGGGGAGTAGATAGTATTATAACACATTTCTAAGGCCTGTGGCCTTTTCATTCTGGAGAAAAGAAACAAAATATTTGGCAGTGCATCCTAAAGGCTTCGAGTCCTATAATTTGAAACAAAACAGAGAATTAAGGAACAAAGGCTTTTTTCCATCAGACATTGAACCTGGGCTTTTATACTGGGAAAATATCTTGAAGAATGTGCACAGAGGCCAACAGGACACCAAGGATTCTAGAATCTGGGGCCCACTGGGCGCCATTCATTCTGATACACGGATTCCGACAATTGGCCTCTTCTCTTCATCAGAGATCAGGCTCCCCCATGAGGAGGCCACCTGGATGGACCACCTATTGGCTTCTGGTCTCAGCTAGGGGCCCGTCTTCAATGTGCCAGGAAAGGCACACCCCCTACTGAGATCCAAGGCCAGTAAGGTGAGACCCCCCCAAAAGCTTCTCTGGGAGAGTCCTCACATGACCAGACTGGGCAGGGGCTCTGAGACTCTGCTTCCTAAATTCACCCCAAGCGGCAGCCAGCTTCCTTGCAGAATCAGAAGGGAAAGTAGCTATGCCCCACCTCTACACTCCAGGCTGCCATAGGAGGGGCTGGTCAGGGGGACAGGACCAGGACCATGCCAGCCTCTGGCTTCAATCCTTCAAATGCCTCTCACTTATGAATGCCACTTGCTCTCAACCTTTCTGCCAGAAATACCCCAGAGGGACAGGCATTCCAGATCCCCAACATCTAAGGAGAGAAAGCTTTCTCCAAGAGCCTCTGGGGACTCAGGGGCTGTTCTTTTTGCTTACCTCCCCTCTGCCCCCCCACCACACAGAGCAGAGCCTCTTCCTGGGGCCTCCCTGGCCACATCTGCTCCCTCGGGTAGGTTTTGCATCAGTGCATAAGCAAAAGCCCCATTCCGAGCACTTGGGAGCTCTGCGGGGTTGTGTGCAGCCTCTGCAGGGCTTCGGTGTGTGGTCCCAGTTCCATTTTCTCTGCAGATGTCAACCAGGACATTTGCTTGTAGGAGTGGGGGGCAGGAGGAGGAGAATTCTAGGAGATGCCGAGGGATGGGTTTCGGTTAACTACGCCTCTGTTGTTTGATCAAGGCCATGTCGGGAGCAGTGCAGGGCGTCAAAAGGAAACCCATTTGTGATCGGTGGTGTCAAGTGCTGGAGCAGCCGGGCTCATTGGCAGTCGGCTTTCGGTGGAACTGCCAGACTCTGAATCCATTAACAGGCAGTTGTGTCAGGAGAAAGCCCAGCTTGTCAAGAGACTCCTTTTGTGGGGCCCACATGCTGTGTTTAGCTCTCCAGAGTTCAGATAAACAGCTCCCCGCTTCCCGCCCCAAGCATGTGTGTGTGTGGCGCACACATACACACAAACACCCCTGAGGCCACAGGAGGCAGACCTCTGCACACAGCAAGGGCATGGTCTAGGATTCCTCTCCTGGCCCTTCTCTGCCTTTCCAAAGTTAAGGCCAGTCTCAGTGTGATGGAATTCCTCTGTCCCCCCTCCAAGCAAAAACCCCCAAACCCAAGACTGTCTGAGCCAGGGATAGCCAGCCATGTGAGTTGAGGCCATTGGTGGGGAAAATAATCTTGTTTTTCACATTTTAAATGGGAAAGAGGGTGAGAGCCAGCATGTCTGCTAATGTGGCTTGCGGGAGGGCAGGGGTGGGACAATCAGGTCTTTCTCTGCATGGCTCTGGAACACTTGTACCTGTGATGCTCCCACAGGAGACCTGACAAGTGACTTGACCCAAGTCCCAACTTTCCCACCTGTAAGATGAAAACACTGCCTCTTCTAAGAGCTGCTTGAGGATTAAATGAGATACTAGGTCCAAAATATTTTGGCGATCCGTATCTAGCCACTCTGAGACCCTAAGGGTTGGCAAAGCCATAGACAGGGGGATCCTGGGTGCTTGTATCAGTGTGTAGAAGAAAAATCAACCAGTAACCCCCACACTGACTGCTTAGTGAGCAGGAAACAAACGCCTATTGTGTTAAGCACTGAAATTTAGGGTGTCGTTATCTCAGCAGCTAGCATTAACCTAACTAATACAGGCGGCAAAGACAGCATCTTGTTGTGATTTGTACCCAGACAGACCACTCCAGATCCCTTACTCTCAGTGACTACAAACCTGCTGAATGGACAAAGGTTCCCCTCCATGTGAAGACTCCATCCTGAGCCCTCCCACCCCATGCCACCCCCACCCAGGCTCAGAGGAAGGACACAGGAGGTTGCAAGTGGTTGGAAGGCAGTGTGGGTGCAGTGGAGGGGAGGGGAGCCTCGTCTTCCCCTGACTTCTGCTCAGGGACCCCCAGGAAACATGCACGGCTATTAACCAGAGGGAGCTGCTGATGCAAATCAGCCCGGATGGCCCTATATGTTGTGAGTGGCAGGCACTAACCGTCTGCATGACAAACCTCCTACAAGATGCCGGCTAAACTGCCCTTTTGTGCCAATTAAAGATTCTCCAGAACACAAAGATTACACACCATTCTGCGGTGCTGACAACAATAAAACAATTTTAAAGGCTATTCAGATCCTCAGTTCACAGCTGACACTGTCAGGAGGGGGAGATTGTCTGTGGCTTTGTTCTTTGTTGTTGTTGAGTCTTAAGACTTAACCAAGGATTTCTGGGGGAGGAGGGGAGACTGGCAGGCAGGAGGGGTCTGAAAAGGTTTCTTGAGTTTTTAAAGGAGAAAAATGAACAACCCAGTGCTCTCTTCTAGTGTGCGTGTGTGTGTCTGTGCATACACAAGCCTACACACACACACACACACACACACACACACACACACACACACACACACCCTCTTTCTCACCAGCACCTCTCTGGAGAGCCTCAGAACAGACTCCCAAGGAACCTTGGTCTCTCCTGGGACGGACACCCTGAGATACGAGGTTATGGGTAACACTAACAATAACGGTTTGGCACCAATTAATTGAAACTACAAGGGCAAAGGCCCAGAAGCTTTCCTCATATGTTTGTTTTAAAGGCAAATTTCCAGAAACAGAGAGAGATTAAAACACATAAAAACAACCAACCAAACAAACAAACAAACAAACAAAAAAGACTGTGTGTTTCAGAAGTGAGAAATGCATGTGAGCCTCTCAGAAGAACCAAAAGGGGCAGATTATTTCAGGTGACAGTATATTGCCTACAAGGTGCTCATGAGAAATGACCAGGAGCCCCAGAGATGTCACGTGAGTTTTATTCTTGCCTCTCCTAGTGTGTATGCGTGTGTCTCTGGGGGCACCCTCAACATTTGCCCATGTTCCTTATCATCTGCTCATCCAAGAAGTGAAAATGTGACCAAAAGGACCAAATGTCCCATTTTCTGCTCCACAGACAGCCTTTCCGGGATTTCTTTCAGCTCCCGGGCACCACAGGAAGCTCCTGCCTGTGGTTTCACTCTTAGCCCCAACACCTTGCTCAACACACAGCTGTCATGTTTGCCGAGTAGGCGCAGCACCTCAGATGTCCACTGATCACATCAGTATTCACGTTGGCACATAGAGCAACAGGGCATGGGGCAGGTATGGGGTAGAAGAAAAACCATGGGTTTCAAGTGGTGGTTCTTAACTGGGGTCCATTTTGCTCCCAGGGGATTCTTGACAGAGCCTGAAGACATTTTTGATGGCCATGACTGGGATGGGGGTACCATGGCATCTAGCAGGTAGAGGTGAGAGATGTTGGGAAATCTCCTACAGTCCACAGGACAGTGACCACAATAAAGAAGCACGTGGCCCACAGTGTCAGGAGGCCCAGGTGGAGAAACTCTGGTTTAGAGTCTAACCTGCCTGGGCTGCAAACTTCTCCCTGTGGGCAGGATATCTAACGGAGACGTGGCTTCCAGATACGTACAATAAGGACACTTAGAGCAACTCTGTGGAAGGACAGAATGAGACGGTCAATGAATGAAGACAGCCAGCGCCAAAAGCCCAGCTGCTGGGATTACCAGTAGCCATCTAGAGGCCCAGGGACACCACCAGTGGCCCACTGTGGAGGAAGAGGAGGAGGAAGCCACCCTGGATACCAGAGGCCAAGGAATGCCCCCAACTTTGCGTGACAGCCCCTGCATTTAATCATCTGCCTCCATCCTGAACTCTGTCCTCTAAAGCAAATCCCATTCATAAAGAAACATCTCCCCCACAAGGAAAGAGAGTGGGAGGGGGAAAAAAAAAAAACAGCCAAATCTTCAGAAGTCTGGGTCCGCTCCCATCAGCTGGTTGTGATCAAAACCACATTCATATTCTGTCTGTTGGGGCTAACAGAAGGCCTCAGACCATCTCAGGAATGTGAGCTCCCAGGCCACCCCTCCGCCCCCCAATTTACAAGAAGCAGCTTCCAGAGGACCAGGGAGGAGGTCTCTCTCCTCGCCATCCCTGGGCACTTGCCCGGTCATGGGGGAGCAGTAGCTGGATACCAGGGGCACCCAGTCATCCTCCCCTCTCAAACAGCCCCTCCCCCCTCCCACTTCAATGGTGAGAGGAAGATTCCGGAAGAGAGGCCAGAGCCGTTTCTGCCCATACCCTCCCCACAGAAACAATTAGTGAGCTCAGGCCATGGCTGCCAAGTTCCTCTGTCCAATTTGGTAGATATTTTAATAGAGGAGGAGAATTCCCAGGGGCCCCCCAACGGAAATGCCCCATGTCAGGGAACGTTTGTTTTCATTTCCTTTTGCCGTCAATGAATTCTACTCATGGCAACGGCTTGGGGCTGGATCAGATCCACACAGAAGCTAACCAGAAGCATTTGTTCCTTGAAATAAATCTCTCTTTGGGGAATGAGTTATATATACATCTGTGGGGGGGACCTACGCACACGTACTCACACAGGCACATATATTATGTATTACAGACAAAACACATGTGCAAATCCCCAGGCAGGCAGCCCTGAGCTTCTGGGAAGGGGAGGCGATCCGCTGGTTGGCTTCAAAGGCCATTTAAAGAAAAGTGCATTGGTGGGAAAATTCAATGACGGATAGAGCCCTGTGAATGGGAAAACGGTCCGTGAAAGCAACCCTTGCTGCAGGGTACAGAGCAGTACTGTGTGACGGAATGAGTGACAGCCGCTGCCACCGCAGCCACACAGTGTTTCCTGCACGCCAAGGTCCACGCTGAGCGTCCACACACATCGCCTCATACCCTTCCAACAGTCCCAAGACAACAGGGGCTGTTGAGTACTGCTTCCATTTCACAGTCGGGCAAAACAAGGCTCAGGAAGAGGAAGGGTCCTGTTAAGGGTCATAAAGCTGGTGGGTGGCAAAGCCAGGATTCGAACCCCAGAGTGGCTGGCTTCAAAGGCAGTGCCCAACCTCTAAGACACAGCGATCCCCTTCCTTCCCATGGTTTCCTGAGGAAGGTCAGAAGGCAGCTCCTCTTCCCTGCCCACTGTGGCTGGGTATCTGTCTCCTGGACCCCCTGATCGCCACTCTCTCGCTAACAGGAGAAATGCCATTAGGAAAAGCAAACGGGTCATGCTCTGCTCGGTTCAGCTCACCAAGGGCAATCCTGGAGGAGTCTGGGTGCACCTGCACCTGCCAAGCTACATGGGAAGCAATGCTGACGCAGACCTCATGAGTATGTCTTAAAAGACCACTTCCATGAGATGCCAGTTCTTTCCAGATTTGTCTTTGTGGAGATCCTTCACTTCAGCTCTCAGCCTTGCTTCAAGCAGGGTTCACTCATGAGCAGGAGCAAGCAGCAGCTGCGGTCTGTGGACAGTCTCTCCCACCCCCTCCCAGGGGGTGCTGCTGGAGGCGAGCACATGCCCATCCAGAAGGAGAGAAGCCGCCCCAGCTCCTCATCAAGATCTACTGGACAAGCCTCTCACAGCAAGCCCCCAAGGTTCCGAGAGAGAAAGGGGCCAGGCATTTGTGACTGAGAACATCTCCCCTTCCTCCTGCCTCTTCCCCTCCTCTCCAGATGCTCATGGCTTCCCAGGAAGCCAGTGATTTGAGGCATGAGCGGAGAAACCTTGAAGTCCACCACACAGTCGAGTATTTGCCTGGCAGCTGCATCGCCCCCTGCAGCCGCAGGCCTTGAGCTGCCTCAGGGCTCAATATCCTCATCAGAAAAAAGGCAAGAAGAATACCAGCATGGCTTACCTCATGGGATAAGGGGCAGACCAAATGTACTCTTCATGGCATTTGCGGCAAACGGGTCATCTGTGAGTACAGTACTTGTACACTGAAGGTATTCCATAAATGCCTTAGATCCACTGGCTGAGTCTATTAGCAGAGCCGGTTTACGAGAAGCCCTGGGCTGAGCTAAATCAATACAGAAGGCATACATTCAAGTGCCCCAGAGGCCAGGTTGGCGGCACAAATGAGAGAATGGGGTGTTAGGGTCAGGGCCACCTACCTAAAAGGGCAGCTACCACCCAGAGGGTCCAGTACCATGTGCAAACACTTTCTTCATGAAGGCCCCAACCTTTGCTCTAAGCAGGGCCTTCAAAGGGCTGGAAGCAAGCTCCAGCAGGGCCAAGGCAGCAGAAGGGCCATAAAGAAAGCCTCACTCACCTGATGGTCATGGCCCCAGGCTCTGTGCATTTCACTTTTTCTCTTACCTCCAATTCCCACAACAGACCTGTCCAGTGGGCACTTTGATTAACCTGGTTTGCAGATAAGGACACTAAGGCACAGAGAATTTAAGTGACTTGCCCCAGGTGATGAGTGGGATGGGATTTGAACCCAGGGATGCTGGGGGAGAGGTGGGAAGAAAAGTTCCAGAAAACAGAAGAGCAACATGCAGCACAGCATCACCAGGAAGCTGCAGGAGGGCTACTGGCAGAGAAGCAGAGTGCAGGTGGATGGCCCAGGACAGGAGGCTGCCACAGGGCCACTGGGTCCTATCCCAGTATGGAATGCAAAATTCGACGGGTGCTTCAGAAGCTGGAGACGTGCTGTGTCCCGCCACTTTAAAGAAAACTTGGGCCTCCTGCCCTTCCCATTGGAGCCCTAGCACCCCATCAACTCTTCCTTGTCCCTAACCTCCCTGGCTCTGCACACGGGAGGTTCACAGACCAGAGTCCAAAGATTAACACAACTGTAGAGGCAAAGAGGTGACCCCCAGGTAAGAACAGAAAGCCCCCTCAAGCCTTAACCCTTTCCTCGGCACCGGCCACGGTCACGCACTCCCCATCAACTGAAAGCTGCTCAACAGACCACTGGCTCGGCACCCTTGTCATCTGTGTCTAAGTGTAATGGAAAAAATTGACTGTTTGCTTGGTGCAATAGGGCATGACACTGTTTACACAGAAATAATAGCCCAACTGCGATGGGTTCTAAATCTCCATTACAGTGAAAGATTTGAAGGAGCAAAGCAGTTAGAAAAATAATTGGTTTTCTTGTTTAGTTTAAAAATCCTTTATGCTTACAGATCATGGACTTCACACCTCCCTTCTTAAGGACTTTAAAATGGAAACGAATGGAGCTGGGAGACTAAGCAGGAGTCCAGAACTTGGGTCTTTCTGGAAGGATCCTCAGAGCTCACAAGAGCAGAGTTGATCTGGATTTCAGAGTACCAGGAGAGCT